ACACTGACTTTGTGAGGATATAACAGAGGAGAATATATAAGCAGAATATTTAAGGAAGTGTATGAAAATACCTATAGACTGACAAAAACGTTACAAATATTTATTAGACCTGAGAAATAATTCATATTGATGGTAAGTTATAATACAACTTTGACCTACTGTGAATCCATCCATTTATTATTTATTCACCTTTTTTTTTGTTTTTTGTTTTTGTTCTTTTTTCTCATGTTTTTGTTTAGTCCTTGCAACTACATATGATTTATTCTCCTGTGGGTAAGTAAAACCTAGCTCTGTTTGAGTGTCCTACATATCCACTTTTTTTTTTATCTCAGCTCTCTCTTAAATGAGTTAATATGTTTGGTTTGTCAGTGGTAGAAGTAATCATTGTTCATTATTTTTTCTTAATTTTACTAAAATGTCCTGAATAAGTTCCATTTATATAACAAAAGTCATGTTTATCAATGTTTATCTGCAAAGATTTGAGAATTTCTCAAGTAAATGAACAGATACTGAGCACTGGGTAAATGTACTTAATCACTCTGATGTTTGTGCATGTTGTGTGTTGTGACTGTAAAATCATTCATGGTAAAATGTTATCTGTTTCATGTGCTAGACACCAGTTGACACAAGAGATATTTTCATTTTAATGCACAGCATTTTTATTGTGACACATAATTTGCTTTCAATATCACAAACAAAAAATATTTTCTTGTCTTTCAGGGGCAAGGCTTGGCATCAACCACAGGTTCACAGCGGTCCACCACGGCCCGGACTTCTCCGATCTGGACTCCGTCGTAGGTCCCGAAGATGGATGTCCACTGGGTCTCTCCGTCGCGGTACGTGCGACTGAGGCGGGCTGTGTAGGGAATGTCAGCTTTGATCTTGCGACCCTCCATACGGACTTTGCAGGAGTGGTTTGGTGGGACTGTGAGTTCCACGGACACGGAGTGACTGAGCGACTCCACCAAGGTGGTTCCCCTAGAGAACTGGAAAGTCTTCTCACCGCTCAGCTCAATGCCCCCGGAGCCAATGAGGGGGATTTTTGCTGTGATGCTGCCGGTGATACCCAGCATGGTATTTCGGCCAATGTTCCAGGTGGTCTCCACCTCTGTGGTCTTTGAGATGGTGACTGTCTTCACCACTGTCTGGCATTCGTTGTTGGTGAGTCCGGAGATGCGCATGGTCTCAGGAGGATACTGGAAGATGGCGACCTCATCAATGTTGTACTTGACGTCAGTGATGTGCTGGGTGTAGGCATCCTTGTTGATGGTCAGGACCTGGTACTTTTTGTACCAATACTCATCGCCTTCCCAAGGCAGGAAGAAAGCTTCAAACTGAGGAACAACCTTCCCAAGGCCATACTTGTTCTTCCCAACGTATATGCCAACACCTGCACAGGTCCTGACTGAATACTGGGGCACTGAACCATAGGAACCTTCCTTCCACTCCAGGAACTCAAAGTTGTCTTTGTTGGCCAGGATCTCGAATTCGGGGGCATAGTACTCACGGTCTCCATAGGGGTAGCGGCAGTATGGGCCAAGGCTGGGGTTGTAGAAGCCGGCGTCGCACTTGTACTTGCAGATGTAGTCAGTGCGCTCAGTGTAACCGTTGTAGATTGCAACAGCTCCGTTGGGCAGAGAGCCATTCCAGGTCAGCCACTCCAGGTTCACGTTATCACCGAAAATGAAAGCAGCAGGTTGATCTTGCTGCTGCTCCAAGTCAGCAGGAGTCAGAGGAGCCGACACCACATTGTTACCAGTCGGTTCAGGCACCAGGTCCTCCAGCTCTGGGTTCAGTAAGGAGACTGTGTAAAGGAGGCAGACAAGTTTACATATTAAAACACACCACACTGTTCATCAAATTTGAAAAAGCTTGCATGGTTAGGTATATAAAACAGATGAAACTCAAAGCTGATATCTGTATATGTATCTCTTTATGTCTATACAAAAATATCAAATGCTTACCTTTTCTGTGCAGTGAGCTCTTCTTCACGATGTCCTGCAGACTGGCTGAGGACAGAGCCAGCAGGGCCAGCAGCAACAACGCTGACAGCTTCATCTGGAGATGAAACACAAAATCTCAAATGAATACGTTGCAAGTGCAAGTATGAGCCCTGTCTTTCAACATGTAACATGTTATCTACAACCTCTATCTCTGTTACAGTGTACATCAGGAGACGCTAGAGTTAAACGACACAACACTCTGAGATGATCAATATATATATATAAAAGTTTAAAGAAGTCATGCTGTCTGTTTACTGTAAGGGTTCAACATCCACATGGACTTGTTTATCGACTGTACGGTGTCAAGATGACTTACAACTTAACTCAACTTGACTATCGATTTGCAAATTTGCACTTGTGATGTATATTAATCTTGTATTTTTATTCTTTATGTCTTTTATCTAATCCGTTTTTCTCTCAGCACAGTGCATTTCATTTCCCTATATCTATTACTTATGTAAGAAATAAACCCTTGAATCCTTGCCAGTTTTTTGTAAATGGTTTAGATTTCTTTTTTTGACAAAAAATAATTGTATATTTAATTACTTATTTGATTTTATTTCAATTCAATTAAAATAACTTAAAAATAATAAAGTAACTTTATTTATTCTCAGTGGGTCAATTAGGAAGTATATAGAAGAGCTAGAGCTGTTTTAATTAAATAGTAAAGTATAGTAAAATGTTTTTGAATAACAAAACACATTGAAATAATCTCCAGGAAACATTTGATAAAAAGTAATATTATACAAGAATAGCATTATAACCAGTTAAATTGATTACTAGAATTTATCGTCACTTGATCATGATCATCTGTGATTGTCTTGAGTTTGACTGAACAGCACTCACCCTTACAGTTGCTCCCTGCTGAGTCCACAGCCAGCCGCCTCCAGGTTTATATATACTGGTTTATGGCTGAACCATAAAGCAAACTGTGCACTTTCACTCCGTCTGACATGGATCAATACACAGAAATTGGTGCAGTAGGTTTGTGAACAGACTGGTGGCTCTCTTGTCAGTGTCTATGGGATTCATTTGACCTCAAAAGTTTATTTTCTCTTTAAACATTTATTAATGGATTCCAGTTAAATGTAGTAGCCTACATGGATTGAACGTTGGCCAATATATAAAATTAGACTTGATCTGAATCTATGATTTCTGTCAATAAACAATTACTATCTGAGTCTTTCTACCATAACTATTAAAGACTTGATTCCTTTCCATTATAGTAATTTGGCACTTTGGATGCTTTAGTCCAAATAGACTTGCAGTATACATTCAACCTCCGTAGGAACAAAAGCTAGGTGTCATCAAAACTTTTAAGAGCATCCCTTCCAAAGAAACAAGAGTTGGCACCAACACAGCATTTTCACTGGTGATGTAAATCAGGTCTCGGGGGGGCATCCTTTCCCCTGAAGAACACCAGCCAAGTCCAAGTTGAATTTTAGGCAGTGCTTTGATATCCACTATAAGATGCTACAAGCAGTGATGCATGCCTTCATCTGAGAGTCAGGTGGGGGAATGACAAGAATAGCTGGGTATTGTCAGCATATCAGTGGTGGGAGAAGTCAGAATTTATGGGGACAATTCGTCATTTTTAATTGAAACTTAAAAGAAAGAAACGCTGTCTTTAGCAATAACAATCATTTGGAGAGTTTATAAGCAAATTAATGATTTCAAGTTAAATGCAAAGAACAGAATTTTGTAAAATGATAAAGTTTATAGGAGATAATATTGAATCACCTAGCTCTAGCTGTCAAATTAAATGATAAAATGTTATGACAGTTTATCCCTAGAGCAAGTAAACTCAAGAATAACTCCAGGATCAATGAACAAAGCATTTGAGCTGCTGTTGAGCTGAGAGCAGTTTAAGGCTCTAGATCGCAGCAGGAGGGAGACCACACACAGTTGGTTGATATTACTGATCAGCTTCCAGGTGGATGTCTGTAGTTTTCTGAATGTAGCCTACAGCTTGACTGGGCCTAACAAGATAATGGTGATAAAAGGTGATTTGCAGTTCATGCTCATCTCACGAAGCATTATAAAATGAGTGCAGATAAATCCAGGATAAGATTCAACATTATTAACAAGTAAAAAAAAACAGACTGATAAGGCTAAGACTTATCAGTTAGTTCTGTCCTCCAGACTATCATACGGTATCAATGACCTTCAGTATACCACGCACTGTGCTTGTCAAATGTCATCTGTCTTTATAAACAACATCTAATAAACTGAGAAATCCAAGTCATAAATGAAATAAAGATCAATAGATTAATAAAGATTATTCAACCATGTAAAGTTGAGTGTCATGATGATTTTAACATTGAACCAAACCTTTAAGGAATACTCAACCAAAAAAACTCCAACCTCTATACCTCTATATATATAGTTCAATGCAATACACCTGGTCATTACTGCACTGCTGGCTGAGGCCTGTGATCTTTCAGTGCCACCTGCTGGATATAAATGTCATGTTATACTTGCAATATATACACACATATAAGTCAATAAGGGTCTAATAGAGTGAAAAGGGTTTCAATTCAGTTTAAGGTACAGTTCTGTTTAAATATGTCACAAATTAACCTCTAAAAAGTGTATGAGGATCTAATAGTGAGAAATGCAGACAACAAAATCCTGGTAGCTTGCATTATCCACTGAGGAGTAAAATTGGTTGTAGCTCGCAAGTAACTTTCTCCAAATATTCTTACTTACAGTCGAGTGGTCCATGACCATGTCCATTTTTTGTCAGTATTATTTTGTATTATTCTGTATGTACAATGTCATTTTGCAACAAAATTGGGTTTTTGTGTCACACAGTAATTCAGGATCAGAGTTTCATAGGTATCCTACACGTATGTTATGGATAAACCAATTAAAACTATCATTTAAGTTGATTTAGTTGAAGTTTGCACTTTTTAGCTGCTGTGTTTCTGTGTTTCGCACTAGAAGGTGGTTTTTACATGCATCTGCTGACAAGGGAAAGTTTTCCTGAGATAAAAATAAAGAAGGGAACATTGAGCTTTATTGTATATTATTCAATGTCATTATGCTTCATACAAATGTCTACTTATCATGAATATTTGCATCATTGCACACTAAACCTCAATTACACAATATTTGGGTCATTCAGCACTCTTTTTCTTATTTGACTTTCATTATTTCTTGTACTTTCTTACACTTGATGCACAGAGACAAATTGTTACCTGTTACTACACAACACTAGCCGACAGTAAAAGTGACACTATTTCATTACATATTTCACTAACACTGATGTAATAAAACTGCAATGCTGCTGTTATTGACTGTAACATTCATGCTGAGTGATTGTGACACAGATTAAGCTTGCATATAATGCCTTTTTTTATGTAACAATAAGATATTAAATGCAAATTTGTGATACATTTGTTGCTTTGAAAACAGTTTACAAACACAACATGAAGAAATAGTTAAAATCCAAATACTTTTATTTTCTTAATGAAAATAAAATATATGAAAGCATACAATTGAAATACAATGTGTCATATATCTAATGGTGCCCCTTCAATTATTATTTAAGGCAAAGGGCTTGAGTCAGGTACAGGTTCACAGTTATCCACGTTAGCCTGGATATGTCCAATTTGAATGATATTGTACATCCCAGAGATAGACGTCCACGTGGTCTGTCCGTTTGTGTAAGTGCGGCTGAGGCGTGCAGTGAAAGGGATGTTTGCCTGGGACTTATATCCCACCAAATGGCCTGTGCAGGTGTGCTTTGGTGGGACGGTGAGCGTTATAGAAATAGAGTGCTGGTTCTCTTCTGTAGTGGTGTGTCCACCTGAGAACTCGAATGATACCTCAGCGCTGACTTCTACACCTCCAGATATAAAGTTAGGGAGTCCTCCAATGAAGGTCGTCTTGACACCGGTTTTGACTGAAGAGGCGATGTTCCACCTTTTCTCCACCCGAATTGTCGCAGAGACAGTAGATGTTGTCACCACTGGACTGGATCCACTGTTGGTGCTGGAAAAGCTGTTTATGCTCTCTGGAGGATACTGGATGATTTTAGCCCTATTAATGTTGTAAATGACGTTCGAGATGTGCTCACTGTGTACATCTTGAATACAGGTTAGGACCTGGTAGCTCTTGTAAAAATACTCACTGCCTTTCCAGGGAAGGAAGAAGGCCTGATGCCTAACATGTACCGTCCCAAGACCGTACTTGTTCTTACCAACATATATATCATACGCCGAACACGTTCTGAGTGAATGTTGAGGCACTGAACCATAGGAACCGTCCTTCCAATCCAAGATCTCAAAGTTGTCTTTGTTCACCAGGATATCAAATGGTTCACCTCTCACCTCTTTGTCTCCATAGGGGTAGTGGCAATAAGGACCGTAATTAGGGTTGTAGAAACCGGCATGACAATTGTATTTGCAGACGTAGTCATAGCGATCAGCATAACTGTTGAAAATCCCCACAGATCCATTAGGGAGACTGCCAGTCCAGGTCATCCATTTCAGGTGTGCACTATTACAAAATGAGGGGAAAGGAGGAGCCTGTCTCTTCTGTCTCAATATAGCAGAAGAAGGAAGAAATTCATCTGTTGACATTGTTCTCTTAGAGGTGATTTCAGGAATCCTGTCCTCTGGAGCTGGGTTCACGGAGACTATTAAAGAAGGGAAAAGGCATAGCCACATTGTGTTAGTGTCATCGGTCTGCTGGATGCTAATTTCTGCTCTTACTGCTTCTATGAGAAATGATTAAAGTGTATTTTGCAGTAACTCATTTTCCTTGGTTGTTGTTTGGCAACAATGTGCATTATGATGCTTTCATGCTGTTGAGAAAATATGAGTACTCACTCATGTATCAGGAGCATCATGAACTGATATGGTATGCAACATATTTCCTCTACAAGTGTTGCATTGTTTGAAGGAATTTCTATTGGATTAACAGAGAAGTAGTGTTGTTTTTCGCGGCCTCTTTTAATTTTAGTTTTAGTCTAGTCTTTGTGTCAAACTGTCATTTTAGTTTTTATTAGTTTTAGTTACGTTTATACTCAATTTAGTCTAGTCAAGTTTCAGTCGACTAAAAGTCTGAGCATTTTAGTCTTATTTTAGTCAGAATTATCCATGACTATTTTCGTCTAACAAGGTTATCTTATTATTATATTATTGTTACCTTATAGACTCAAGAATACATTCAATTCCAGACACGGAAGAAGCTCTGATTTGAATTTACAACATACTTATTTTAACTACCAAACATGTACTAAGAAGTACACACACATAAATTTAAATAAAATAAATAAATAAAATAGCTTCAAATGACAATGCCAGAAAAAACTGACATTATATCCAAGTTTAAGACTCAGGAAACAGAAATACTTCAAAATAATAATAATAATAGCGAGACGAAATAACGTTATAACATTTCGTCTCGTCTCGTTTTGGTCAACGAAAATGAAGAGATATTTTAGCAGAGTTTTTATTTTGCAAACCACATTTAGTCCCGTTTTTATTCGTCAACAATATTGCATTATATATTTGATTATAGTTTTCGTCACATGACCACCATTTACGTTGCGTCAGAGAGACGGGCTCTGGTTGCGTCATAGATATATAGATATATATATTCCAACTGACAGACATGTATTTATGATCGAGTCCAGAGAAAATTCAAGCTTTTGATACTGATATAATCTACTTCAAAATGTAATGCCTAGTACTAGTAGGCGTAGGTTTATTATTCTTCCACTCAATAGTATGTGTATTTGCTTTTACACCTGTATTGTACTCATATCTAATGACAATCACAAAAACATCCGACCTAAAGGCTTCGCAGCTCAATATTTCATGCAGTACCTTTTTGACGGTCGTGCTTTTATTTTGAAAACGTCACCGAACCGACCATAGATATATACTGAAACATGAGATTGAAACAATATAATTTCATCACCAGAAATATACTTTCGTAATATTCAATATCATGAAACAGATTATCACCTGTGAAATGTCATCCCTTGTTGTTTGGTTTTTTCATTTCTTTTGTTCAAACATAAGCAGCACAAAAGTCCGGCATCCTTAGAGAGGATCTGAAGGCGGGAAAACTAATTTGGCGCTTCAGATCCCCGCTCCAAGATGGCGACGGTTTTGACGTATGCTTAGAAGCCCAAGGCGACATGTCAGTATCATTATATATATATATATATATATATATATACGTGTATATATCTATGAGTAGGCTATCTAATGGTTGCGTCTCGTCTCGTTTCCATCACGTGATAAAGGTTCGTTGACGACGATATTTAGTCATAATTTTCGTTGTCGAAAGCAGCACTACAGACAGGTAGCAGATAGTGTATATATGTCTACGGTGTACAGCCTCTTAGTAAAACTACAGTATAATTTTGTCATTAGCAGGAAGACTGTTTTCAAGCTAATTTTAAAATACTGTTTTTATCTCTATATACTTCTGTGATGCGTTAAAATTCAAAAATGAGTGAAGAAATAATAAATAAAATATAAATAATGAAAAATTTCCATTTTTGTGCTGTGAACTATTCTTCACAATGTCCTGAAGACTGGCCGAGGACAGGGGCGACAGGAGCAACAACAACAAAGCTGGAAGCTTCATCTGGAGACCAAATACAGTCCAAACCATTTGTATTAAGCTTACATGTAACACATGTAAGCTTAATACAAATGTTTGCTTCATTATTGACACACTATGAAGCTGTTCAAGACAGAAGCAGACTTGATGGACTTTGCAGGACCTGTTGTCTTTAATAACTATGTTGCTGTTTGTAAAATGGTTTAATGTTACAGCAAAAATGGACTTAAATAGTATTACTCTAAATCTTACAAGTAGTTTTTTTCAGTATTGTTGATACTTATTACACAACCTCACATACCTTTCCCTTTAAACCAAAAAACAAAACAGAATACTTAAGGAATTAAATACAATGCGATAAATGTACTCACCATCATAGTCACACATATCACTCACACAGCTTAGATAGCTGTCTTGTTGTTGAATTACAAAGCATAGCCAGGGGTCAGAGGCCGCTAGGACAGAGCCTCATCTGTTGTTGGAAATATAACAGAGCTCAGCTAAAAGTTGTGATATCCTGATTGTGTAATGGCTCTGCAGAGAAATGGGTCTGAACCCGAGATGCATGACTCAGACAGACAGGATCAAATTATAATGACTCTCTTCAGACCAGCACCAGCAACATTAACACTATTAACCAAGGTGTTACTTTTGACTTGCGTTCTCTTTTTATTATTATTATTATTATTATTATTATTATTAATGTTGTTGTTGTTGTTGTGAAAACGTTTACGTTTACATGTGTTATAAAAAACATCTACAATCATGCAGTCTTTTAATATTGATTATCTTCCAACCAAATACAATCTAATATTTGTTTTCAGTAACACTTTAGCTAATCATACTAATTCCATTAGTGTATCACCTAAAATAAGAATTGTTGTGTTTTTGTTACCATAGAATGAGCCTTTTATATATACCGAGTGGGTGGACTTCTATGGAGGCCTTCACTCTTTCAAGTCCAGTGTAGTCCAGTCTAGTTTGTGTGTTTAGAGTGCTTTCACTCACGTACAACATACAGTATTTGATTTGGATATGTTCCATGTAAGCTCGTAGGCTTTGAACTTTGTAACTTACAAGTTTTGGTCCAGAACGTTGCTGCCAGGTACTGGGAAGAGGGACTCTATAACCCCTATACTGGCCTCTCTCCACTGGCTAAGTGGATTTCCCCATTGTGGGATTAATAAAGTTATCTATCTATCTATTACTCTACATCCAGGTTGTTCAACTCAGCTGACTTTGGGCTCCTGGCTTCTAAACTTGAGATCAGGTGTGACCGCACCTTTGCTGTTGCTGTCCCCTAGACTGTGGAACAACATCTCAACAGCTCCAAGCTCCAAGTCCAGGCTCAAAACATACTTGTATTCTCTACAGGAGTTTGTCTGGTGCCTATGTGTTGTTTATCTGTACCTATGAGCTGTATGTACTCTATGTATGCTTTGATTTAATTTGATTTGAAGTTTGTAACATTTATTTATGTTTTCTAATTATATATGTATATATAAAAGTTTCAAATCTTAGTCCCAAAACTTAGTTCTTCAACAACTAACAATGAATAACGTTAAAGATGCCTCACTGGAACCTTAGTGGCATAAATAAACTTGTTGCTTGGCCACCATTTCTATTTGGTTGAAATGATAGGGACACTATGTACACTTGCAGGCAGCAGAGGGCAGAAACAGACTGACCGAGAAAGGAAGGTCGACTGTGATTTTGGATTCAGTCTATTCGGTGGCATTTCAAATATTTGTTTCACTTTTATTTGTTTTTTAATCAGTTTATTAATTATTCATTTTAATTCAAAGACCAAAGTATATATCAGTTAATCAACCAACGCTTCAAACTAATATTTCAATTAAACCAAATGCTCTGACTGTTGTGAGACTGGGTTGCTGATGCATGAGACTGCATCTAGAAATGAAGCTCGCCTGAAAAGCTGGGAGGACCATTTGCAAATGACTGACTGAGTATTGCAATAAAATCAATAAAATCTCGGAAAGATGACGCTCTCTTTGTGTGTGGTATTGCAGCTCTGGGGTTGATTATATGTTTTCTCACTTTTTTTTTTTTCAGTTTACATGGCCATGCAATCTGGGTTTCCTGCTAAATCATTAGTCAGGTTTCTCTAAACTAAAACTTGTACTCAACCAGTCCTCAGGAACAACACAGAGCACACAAATGGTAAATGCAAACTGACATTATGTACTAATGTTGAGCAGGTACAGTGTTTACCATGTTAACCATCTTACTTTAACCTGTTAGCATGCCAATATTTGCTAATCAGCACTCAACATAAAATCGTCTCGCAGGTTCTTACCAAAAAAGGTGCGTGTCTTTTGTCTTTCAGCTGAGCATGAAACACGTGTTGGTGACAGACAAAGAGCATGGAGGAGCGGGAGGATTTGATTTCCTTCTTCTAATGTGTGTGCTGAGATTTAGGCCAAATTTAGGTGTGTATGTGTGTGTGTGAGTGAGTGTGTGTGTGTGTGTGTGTGTGTGTGTGTGTGTGTGTGTTCTTACATTAGTGGTGCCATTAAAAGGGAGTCTCAAATACTACAAATACTACAGTAACCTGCGTTAAACAACACAACAACATAACCTGAATAAAAACACGTTAGTACAGTAACATTAACAGTAATTAAACAGTCCTTGCTTAGCATGCCTTTGCTCATGTTTTAAGGTCCCCTTTGACCCTACATATATCCCGCCCTTTGCACCTGATGTGTGATCCTGAGAGCAAGAGTGTATAGTCCATAGCTGAAAGAGTTCCTTTGTTAGTTAGATCCTGTTTAGTAACATCTGGGCAGTTCATTGATAACTTTATTGATAACAAGTTACAAAACAAAACCAGATAAAACATGACAAAAGCATTGCTATGGCTAACATAAATAACCAGAGTTACTCAGTTACTCTGCAGTTAATGAGAAAAGAAAGGTTAGTGGTGTATAACTGTTAGTGAGATACAGAGAGAAAGTGAAACAAATGAAATCAATTTTTGGACTGTATTAGATAAGGACATGTATATGAGTGTGTCCTAAACTAATGTTTGCAGTGATCTTATCAAAATACTATCAAGGACCGAGTCCAGGCGTGTTTGCAAACAGTGGTGTCAAATCAATATTTGGTTTGTTTTTCAGCTGACAGTAGGTTGTTTGACTTTTACTGAAACTATTGTACTGAGTTTACTGTGGTTGCTAACAAATCCAAGTTTGCCTATGAACTGCAGAAAAAGGTAAGGTACGCTGAGCTAACTTACAGTCAGTACAGGGATGGACTGTATCGTCATGACAGTGAGACCTGAGCTCTAGAGTCCTTGTGCCTAAAGTTTTTCCTAACTTGCTCAGGGCTGAAACACTCCTGGTATCCTGGGCAGAGAGACATTCAGAGGCGCTCTTACTGTCTGATGGATTATGACCATGTTCTGAACTGTGATCAGAGATGCTGTGGTCATCATCTGAATCATCAACTATCTGGTCATAATGTTGGAACTGGCTTTTATACCCCCGTAAGCCGCACCTACGGTCCACAAACCTTGCACATTAAGTGGGGCAAATGTGGGGCTTTTTGCATGTGTATATTTGATGACATCTAGCTCTTGTTACTGCTGAATTTGAAAGCCCTTACTTTCAGATACTTTGGATGAAAGCCGAATATAATTGAAATTACAACGTGTTTTTCAAAAATGTTGTTCCTTAATAAATGTTATGTTATGTACATTATAAAATGACACTGGCCAGTTCAAAATGTTTTGTGTTGACTTTAGACACAGAATTAAAAGTTTTCAATTGAGGGATAACAAAGTATTTAGAATCTTTTTAAAATTAAAAATTACCCCCAGACATAAATTGTTATTCCAAGCAGTGTATTTAGATGTCAGTTGTCTTAAGCATCTCTGGATGGGAGATATGAACTACTCATATCACTTTTCTACTAAAATGTCTACAAATCAAAAACAGAAGCAACGCAGATAGACACACTGTAAAAAAAAAAAAGAAGAATAAAATACATAGCATTTATATTTCTATTGAATAAAATAAATTAAATGTAATAAATGTAATAAGAAATACTCATCAGTTTGAATGTTTTACTTCAACTAATGATTGGTAAATACTAACTCAGCTTTCAAAAAGCCGAGTATTGCATTCAATTGAGTATTATTGCTGCAATTATAGATAATCTGAGGACTATTCATAAAACCATCTCATTTTGCAAACACATGTGGTTTAATTGTATGTTTCCAACTCAGTGAACCTGCTGTGTGAGCGTTTACATTGTTTACAGTTTACTACACATGGTATATTTTTGCCATGTAAATGACACTGAAATAATCTGACAAAATGTATTTTCTTTTTAAATTTGAACTATATTCACCTAGAATAGAAATGGACATGGAGATACACCACATGAAACTTTGTGCATTTAGCATGAAACTGAATAGCTGTGGCTGACAACTAATCAGTGGTTATCCTGACATTGGAGAATATGCAGATTGGAGTGTTTTTGTAATTGAAGATCATTTTTATTTTTTGTCAATTGACCGTATGCCAATGTTTGTGTGGCCAGTACAGCACAGCCATTCTGTTTATATTTTCAAAATAAATGTCAAGAATGTGAGATTTTTTTCTGTTTTTGCAACTGTACAGAAAATGTATCAAACTCTGACCCCAAACCAGGATTAACTGTGAATTATTTTGTACCTTTACACCCCTGATATGCATGTGGCTGTGGTAGACATTGAAAATAAATATGAATATACGTTAACTACAAGTAACACATTTGATATGTATTTTGTATATTTAAATAAAATAATAAATCAAATGTTTAGAAAACTTCAGTAGACTACAAGGAACCATAACAGAAAACAAGTTGCTCTTTTTCTTTAATATGATAAAAGCCAGATAGAATAAAGTTTCAGATGGTTAACTTATTAAAGAAAACAGAGAGATAAGGATCAAATAGCTACTAGATTAATAAATTGCCAGCTCATTCATGCTTAGCTACTTAAGTTTGTATTTCAAACACATTTCCATTCTCCCTAAAAGTTTTAGAATTGATTTTAATGATACTGTGATAACCTCTAGGGCACGGCATGGTAAAATATTAATCTCTTCCAACACAATATCCTTGTTCCGGGTGAGAAAGTGTGAAAAGGAAAGTGAAACAGAGTACAGCTGAAAAGCAACCATTCCTCTGCAGTCAGAATTCAGCGACCTTTTTGCTGTGAGGCGACAGTGCTTACCACTGAGGCACCATACTGCTCATTGGTGCTCCATTAATTCCCTAAAACACAACACGCTTAGCTATTTTACTGTAAAACACTATGCTATTATGGTTATTCAATCCAAATGTAAACAAGGTTCCCTTATTCTAGCAACCCTCACAACCCTTTTTCATATGTGACCTAAAAATGGATTTCAGTAACCCCATTGTCAGCTGTGTAGGCCTACTGCAGGAACAGCTTAGGCGCAAGATAGTCTCCTTACAGCAATACATGAGGAAACACAAAAGTATCTAATCAAGGAAATCTTTTGATTTAAAATCCTTTAAAGCAAAACTAGTATTATTTAAAGTTCAATCCACACAGCAGTAGCCCTAGCTGGCAAATCCTCTCACTTAAAGCAGTGGTCCAATATTATATTATGAACAGCCTCCTTTTATGCTTTTGAAAATGTGCCACAAACAACGGTGCTCTACACATAAGTATCCCTGAAAAAAAGGGGGAAAAAAATCAATATTAAAGTTCATAAAAGGAGGAGCCTGGAGAAGGAGAGGTGAAGGGGTGCTGCCCCGTTACTTCCAGCATCAGTGTTTCACCAGGTACCAAACTGGGAGAAAGAAAATACTTTTACAGATAGGTTTAAGAATATAAAGTGCCTTATCGAGCAACAAAAATATGGAGTCAAAAGCTCAAATGAGCTGAACACAATCCTGAAAAATTAATTTTTAATGGTTTTTAAAAGGTCACGTCAACCACTTGTTTTTCACTTGGCCCTAGGTTTATATACCCAGGGAATCTGATTTTCCAGCTAAATTTATTAATCAAGTTTTGAATCCCTTTGTGGTGGAAATTCAATTCAGCCCATTCATGTGAGATGCAACAATTAAAAAAAGTCAGTCAGTCAGTCTTTTCACCCGGGTGTAGCTCTGCGCAGAGCGAGCCTCTCAGCTTGTCAGCATGAAAAGGTCTCCCTTCTCAGGGCTGCACCCTTATTTATTGAAGAAAGTAAAAACAGGAGGTACAAAGTAGATAACAGCTAGTCATGCTAACGAGCATCATGACCTTGTATTCATAGGAGATGCCTGGAGCCAGTCTCCACCGGGTTCATCCTCTCCTCCCTCAATAACAGAGACATTGTAACCACAGGTTGACTGTTACTCTTTATCGTGTGGGAAAATTAACAGGTGCTGAGAGCAACCCTGGAACAGATACATTTTGCACACACAGTAGTTCATAAGCACGAGGTTACAAATAGTGTATTATAGTGTATTAAAATTTTCCATTACACCTTAAACACCAGATTTCCTGTTTACATAATGACAAAAGCTGACACTAATTCAAATTTTTTTTCTTTTTTTCTTTTGCATTTTCTTTTACTAACAATTTTGAATGACCAATACATGCCCCTTTTACCTCTCCTTTAAAGCTGAAATAATATATACACTGAACCAGCCTTTAATTGTGTTGACCATCATAGACTATTTGGAGGACATAAAAACAGGCATTGAAACAATATTTTTGATGGAGAAATCATCTCAATGTCAACTCTCACTCCACTGAACTGTTTCTGTTGTTGTAATGTTCTGTACTGATTAATGGACAGCCAAGTGAATACACACTATTTGTTTAATGACTAAACCAGGAAGCAGCTAAATATATAAATCTGAAGGAGGCTGGTGGTGCACCAAGGGATGTACACTGGGATGGTGAGTACGTTTCATGTGCTTGTGTTTTCAGTGTTAAATTAGTCAAATTCTGAATCTGCATCACATAAAATTATGACAAAATTAAAGAAAAGATTCTCTCAATAGATCAAACATATGAATGGAGACTTGGACAATTGCATTTCTGTAAAATATTGTTTTTATCATTTTAATATGGAATTTAATGCAACAGAAATGAATGATTTGTATTACTATTGTCAGGGGTGTCAGATTGACAATGACTACTAATAATTTACATTATTATTATTTACTATTATATTATCATATTATATACGATTTTGCTCTATCAAATTGTGTATTTCCAAAATCTTTAACTATTACTTTATTTATGATTCTTCATGCAGAAACAAATGCTATAGTATTGGTTTAATGCTGCATTATAAACTGCTGGTCTATGTGTTTCCTCTTCAGATGAAGCTGTCAGTGTTTATGCTGCTGGCCCTGCCGGCTCTGTCCCTAGCCAGTCCACTGGACATCAAAAACAACACAGAGCAAACGGCAATGACAAATGGTAAACACAAACTTGCATTATGAAATCTTGGAAAGGATAAAAATGTTTAAGATGGCTTATAGAGCAACAAACATTAATAGAGTAATTGCTTAAGCCAAGTTATAAACTGAACATGTTTCCTCACTTATTTGTAGGCCTAAGCCATGCAGAGATAGATAGAGACAGATACTTGAGCCTTGGTTTTATATTTGTAAGTCTTTCAACCATCCCAGTACAATGTGGTGATTTGAATTTGGCTTGTGCTGCTGCTCAAAGCATGAAAAAAGATTCATCTCTTGTTGTTTACTGTGACTGTCATTGGGGCTGGTGGGAAAGCCACTGGTTTTGTAGAAAGAATATAGCTGTGGGTGCACGGACGGGCCCATAGAAAATGCCCACTATATTATATTAAAGCAAACATTGTTCTTGTCTGTGCATTTTCCCCTTTCTTTATCCAGTCTCCTTCATGAACTCAAATGGCAGTGATGAAATGATTGCGAGCAGATTGCCGCTATCAGATCGACCTCTTCTGACTGTTGCCAAGTTAAGGCAGATGAGGCAGGTTAAGTCTTCCTCCTTTGTGTCTAACGATGGCTCTAACCTGGAGTGGGTGACCTGGAACAACTCTCTCCCAAACGATGCTGTATCAATTTACAATGGATATGTCAATCGTATTGATTATGTCTGCAAATACAGGTGTGAGGCTGGCTTTTATACACCCAGTAAGGGCCCTTACTGCCACTATTCCGGCACAAAAAAAGCATATTCTGGTTCCCCGTTTGAGATTCTGGTGAACAAAAACAACTTTGAGATCCTGCAGTGGAAGGAGGATTCGTATGGTTCAGTGCCCCAGAATTCAGTCAGAACCTGCCCTGGGGAGAACATATATGTAGGGAAGAACAAATATGGACTTGGGAAGGTTTCTACTCAGGATAAGGCCTTCTACCTGCCGTGGGAGGGTTCTGAATATTGGTACAACTACTATGAGGTCCTGACCATCAATGAGAATATAATCAGCCAGAAGATCTATGATGTCAAGTATAATATTGATGAGTCTAAAATCTTAAAATATCCTCCAGAGATCATACGAAAAACAGCCATCAGTAACTACGAATGCCGCTCAGTGGTGAAAACAGATTCCCTCTCAAAGACATATCAGGTTGAGCAAAGGTGGGACTTCACCTCTGCTATCAAAGTTGGTGTTAGAACAAGCTTTGAAGTCGGCATCCCTTTCTTCAGCACAAATATTGAGATCAGTAGTGAGGTGACATTAGAGTACTCCAAGGGAGAAATAGTGACAGAAGTAATCACTGATACTGTTTCTGTGGAGATCACAGCTCCGCCAAACCGCTCCTGCATAGTTAATATGGAGCGGTATACGTATAAGATTGACATCCCGTTCACAGCACGCCTCAGCCGCACCTATGGTAACGGGGAGATCCACACGACCTCCATCACTGGGACGTATGACAGCGTTCAGGTTGCAGAAGTCCGGGCAGTGGTGGACCGATGTGCACCTGTGGACAACCCCCAGCCGTGCACATGAAATGCATAAAGCCCCACATGATGTCTGACATAATGCATTTGTATGTTTAAGGTTTTTTTTAATTCTTTTTTATTCTTTTTTTCACTTTCAATTTTTGAGGATATCTAGCTCTTGTTCTCATTGAATTGAATGCCCTTATTGTCAGACACTTTGGACAAAAGCCAAATCAATGTAATGTAATTACATATCCTATTTTTACATTTTGAGACTTAATAAACTCTTTAAAAAATGTGTGTTTCTTATTGTTACTTCACCTGGATGTTTGAGCTTCACTGTGCAGAGTTTCACAGTAGAAGGTTGTTTTTACATTCATCTGCTGAAGAGGGAAAGTTTCCCTGAACATGAATGTGATCACAATTTCTTTGGCAGCCAATCATGGTACAGTATACAAGTTACACAAAATGTGATGTAATGTGATCTATCGCACATACACTGAGAACTTACGTTTTACCTTTGTATTCATATTCTACTGTAATTAGTATATTGCTTTTCAGGGGGGGAAATATAAACAGTGTGGTTACACATATGCCCATAAGAAAGACCGGGCTCTTAGTTAACATTTGTGTTGCTTGGATTTGCTATGTACGGTGGCCGACAAGGGCAAACGCGCCGCTAACGGGCAAAACTGCAGCAAAACACGGGAATGATGTAAAACCAAAAACACACAAACACATAAAAACAAATGCAACAGAAAAACACAGCAACAGAAAAATGCTGCAACCACAGAAATGAACCAAAAGCAAAAACTTACAAACCCACAAAACAAATGCCAAAGAAAAATGCTGCTAAAAACACAAAACAACAAAACAACTGCAAGAGATAAACGCTGCAAATTCGCTCCACAAAACGGAAGTGCGGATGTACACCTCACCTCAATTACACAGAATTTGGACGATTCAGTACTAAAACTTAACTGACTATAAGAAAAAGAGTTTCATGTTATAGCAGCGTGAGGGTTCAATTTAAATAGTCTGAGTAGATGAAGCAGGTTGGCAGGTGACCAGCTCCATCAAAGTTGCTCTTCTTGTGATTTTTGTGGAGTACCAATACAATTTGATTTCTCATCATCTTACATTTTAAAAGTCAGACTTCAACCATCAAGATAGCATTTAACTTTTAAGGACAAATGAGCTGCATTAATTGCCTTTCTTATTATTATCTGACTTTTAGTTTTTCTTGCACTGTCTTCACTTCATTGAATTCACAGACGTTATACTCTTTAAAGACAAAACCTTAGTGGCATAAAGAAACTTGTTGCTTGGCCACCATTTCTATTTGGTTGAAATGATCAGGACACAGGCAGCAGAGGGCAGCACCAGACTGACCGAGAAAGCAAGGTTCACAGAGTGATTTTGAATTCAGTCTATACTGTGATATTTCAAGTATTTGTTTCGCTTTTATTTGTTTGTATAATTATTCATTTTAATTCAAAGAACAAAATACATATCAGTTAATCAGTCAACACTAAAAAACTAATCTTTCAATTTAACCTGCAATGCAATTTAATTCCAAACTAATTATTTATTTTCCAGCCTTGAATGTGAAAATTAATAACAGTGCAATCAAAAGAAAAGAATAATTATCTAAATAGCTAAATTTGTGAGTTAAATTTAATGTCAGAGACATTTTATTAGGATTCCTTGGATTGATTACAGCCATTTTAATGATATTACATTTACCAAATCACAAAAACATTGTTAAAATGCTTGTTATATGAGTTATCATATAACAGAAATAAAACGAGTCCATACAGACTGAGGATTACAGGACGGTCTGTTCCAGTGAAATGGTTTCATCCAGCAGTTTTACTTCAGCTCTCACTGGCACTTAACCAGAGATAAATAAAACATAGACTCCCATCTTTCTCTCTATACATCTATCTATATCTCTCTGTCTCTTTGTCTCACATACATATACACTCACAGCTCTGATGTTTCTATACAACATAACTGCTCTATCTCTTTCTGCTTTCAGCTTTGTTATGTTCACTACAGAATAAAATGGTGCTGTCACTTTACACATTCATTAGCATATTATTGAAAAAGAAAGACACTTCAGTGGTGGAATATAAAGTAAATCCTCAAATATTTTATTTAAGTACAAATGTGTGGTACTTGTAGTTTACTTGAGTATTTTCCACTTTACACTTCTACTCAACTCAGAGACAATTATTGTACTTTTTACTCCACAACATTTGACAGCCTTGGTACTTTTGAGATTACAAATTTTCCTTACCCTAATGCACAGTGAAAACCATGCATCTCCAGATCTGGTGGTTTTGAATGTGAATTTTTCTGATAAACTGAAGGATTAAATCTTCCTGTATGGACTGAGAAAATTATTCACTATATTGTCTGGAGCATTGCTGTAGATTAAGCTATCCAAAGAAAATGAGCTCAACCATAAACATCTATAGCAGTAAAATGCAAATCCAAGTATGAGCTCTGTCTTCCAACATGTAACATGTTATCTACAACTTCTATCTCTGTTACAGTGTACATCAGGAGACGCTAGAGTTAAATGACACAACACTCTGAGCTGATCAATATATATATATAAAAGTTTACTGTAAGGGTTCAACATCCACATGGACTTGTTTATCGACTGTACGGTGTCAAGATGACTTACAACTTAACTCAGCTTGCCTAAACTTAGCAAACTTAATTACAATATTTGCAAATTTGCACTTGTGAATTAATCTTTATCTTTTATTCTTTGTCTCTAATCCGTTTTTTCTCTCAGCACAGTGCATTTCATTTACTATATCTATTACTTATGTATGTAAGAAATAAACCCTTGAATCCATGTCAGTTTTTTGTAAATGGTTTAGATTTCTTTTTTTGACAAATCCTCTTTGATTATTATGTATATTTAATTACTTATTTGATTGATTTGATTATTTAATTTCAATTCAATTAAAATCAGTAACTTTATTCTCAGTGGGTCAATTAGGAAGTATATAGAAGAGCTAGAGCTGTTTTAATTAAATAGTAAAGTATAGTAAAATGTTTTTGAATAACAAAACACATTGAAATGATCTCCAGGAAACATTTGATAAAAAGTAATATTATACAAGAATAGCATTATATATCTGACATGGATCAATACACAGAAATTGGTGCAGTAGGTTTGTGAACAGACTGGTGGCTCTCTTGTCAGTGTCTATGGGATTCTTTTGACCTCAAAAGTTTATTTTCTCTTTAAACATTTATTAATGGATTCCAGTTAAATGTAGTACATGGATGGAACTTTGGCCAATATATAAAATTAGACTTGATCTGAATCTATGATTTCTGTCAATAAACAATTACTATCTGAGTCTTTCTACCATAACTATTAAAGACTTGATTCCTTTTCATTATAGTAATTTAGCACTTCGGATGCTTTAGTCCAAATAGACTTGCAGTATACATTCAACCTCCGTAGGAACAAAAGCTAGGTGTCATCAAAACCTTTAAGAGCATCCCTTCCAAAGAAACAAGAGTTGGCACCAACACAGCATTTTCAATGGTGATGTAAATCAGGTCTCGGGAGGGCATCCTTTCCCCTGACGAACACCAGCCAAGTCTTGTCCAAGTTGAATTTGAGGTAGTGCTTTGATATCCACTATAAGATACTACAAGCAGTGATGCATGCCTTCATCTGAGAGTCAGGTGGGGGAATGACAAGAATAGCTGGGTATTGTCAGCATATCAGTGGTGGGAGAAGTCAGAATTTATGGGGACAATTTGTCATTTTTAATTGAAATTCAAAAGAAAGGAACGCCATCTTTAGCAGTAACAGTAATTTGGAGAGTTTATAAGCAAATTAGTGATTTCAAGTTAAATGCAAACAACAGAATTTTGGAAAATTATGAAATATTGAACCAACTAGCTCTAGCTGTCAAATTAAATGATAAAATATTATGACAGTTTGAACCTAGAGCAAGTACACTCAAAAATAACTAAACCAGGATCAATGAACAAAGCATTTGAGCTGCTGTTGAGCTGAGAGCAGTTTAAGGCTCTAGATCGCAGCAGGAGGGAGACCACACACAGTTGGTTGATATTACTGATCAGCTTCCAGGTGGATGTCTGTAGTTTTCTGAATGTAGCCTACAGCTTGACTGGGCCTAACAAGATAATGGTGATGAAAGGTGCATCTGAAGAAGTCTATTTGCACCTTTGTATATTATTTACAACATCCTTGGTGTTGTGTTCATGCTCATCTCACGACCCGTTATAAAATGTGTGCAGATAAATCTAGGATAAGATTAAAGATTGTTAACAAGTAAAAAAAACAGACTGATAGGGCAATGACTTATCAGTTAGTTCTGTCCTCCAGACTATCATACGGTATCAATGACCTTCAGTATATCACGCACTCATTACAGTGCTTGTCAAATGTCATCTGTCTTTATAAACAACATCTAATACACTGAGAAATCCAAGTCATAAATTGAATACATTTCAATAGATTAATACAGATTACTCAACCATGTAAAGTTAAGTGTCATCATGATGCTTTTAACATTGAACCAAACCTTAAAGGAATACTCCACCAAATGAAACAACCCCCTGTAATGTGGAAAGGAGGCTCAGTGTGGTTTGGTGTGATTTGCTTCTTCGACTCAGCACGGATTCATAGCAACATCAAACTAAATAATTTACTACTTGCTAACTTTTCCTGGATCCTTCAACTGGATCTCATGATCTTCATGTACTTCACAGTAAACAAGGACGAATGTACAACCCGCAAAACAAAGATGGCAGCGACCATATTGAGATGTATTTTCTTTGTATTTGTACTACGTTGGTCTTTTTAATGTCGATTTCAAATGCTCCTATACACTTGTTTACATTGCTGCTTTAGTCCGGTCACCAATTTATGCATTGCACAGTGTTGCTGTGCGTGCAATACAATGTAAAGTTTTGTTTTCTAGCTGGTTTGCTAAATATGCTAATGTAGCTAATAATAACACTAGCCTGCCACTGCTCCTGGTGGCTCGAGACAAATGACGAAATGAGACGAAATGTTAGTGTTTCTGTAGAAAAACATTATTATTTCACATTGACCTGAAACAGTACCCAAAAGCAATAACAAGACAGCTGCTGCACTGGTGGTGTCCATGTTCTTTCCAACTTGTAATGCCCAAAGACAACTGGAACGCTATAAGTGGTACAAGCCCGTAAATTAAGTCACGTTCGCGCGGCAGAGCAACTCGGGAGGGGGATTTACGAGACAAATGGA